TCTTAGTGGAAATAACCATCAAAGACTCCATCTTTCCGGTAATCTCTATCAGTCTCATGGGCTTTCACAGAAGAAAAGAAGGTATTAAACACAAAAACATTATTCTTTTTCATTTAAGTCTAAATTCTGTGAATGTCAGTTTGGACTTTTTAGCCATCTTTTTCTCTACAGCAAGCTAGTAAATGCTTTACAAAGCCATATTTGTAGTCATTTGGGTTTTGTTTTATTAATTGAGAATCTGTGAAGAGCATCTGTTACTCTGTGTCCACAGCATCATCTCAGCCCCATTTGGTGAACCATTTTGTTGTCTTAAAAACATCTTTAAAGCTCACAAGAAGTGGTTAGGACAACAGCTGTAATTGGATTTGTAGTCCGGAGGATGTCTCTCTGTCTTGCTTCCCACTACTCTGTCAGACAGAAGGTAAAGCAGGGGAGACGAGAAAAAACCCTATTCATCATCTTCTTTGTGAACTGCTGTGGTGAAAAGGGATGTCCTGCTCAAGCTACTGCCTGGCAGGAGGGTGCACAGAACTCCAAGTGTTCACGGCTTGCTGGCTGCTGTTGGCTGGTTGTCTCTTCTTACTGGAGCGAAACCAGTTGTCCTAATAAGCACTGCTCAGACATCAAGCAAGACGACCAAATTTTCTCTGAAGAGCAACATGTGATACGCAATTATCTTGCAAAGCTTTTACCTTGCAAGTTTTTGGAACAACGCCACGTCTCTGGGAATTCGCTGCTGCGTTAGTTAGAAAGGGTTATTTGATACAACTGGAAATTGCCTCTGAGGCTGGAGATCTCAGCTCACTAAATCAGCCTGACATTTGTTGATGAAGAGTGTGTCAGCTCAGGCGCAAGGCAAAAGTTCACAAAACACATTGCACTGGCGCTTGGAGAGCTAAACAGCAGTAAGGTTGGACAGCAGTAGGCTTTGGAGCCTTTTGCCTGAGTTGGCACTCACCATCATTGTGCTGGTGTAATGAGTTTAGCTTGCTCTGACCAACTGACCTTAGCTCTGAAATTACGAACAGTTGCCACCGCAGTGTTAGTACTGTGGGTTGCTAGAGTCAAGTGGAGTTGAATGCCTTCTGGGTGCTTGTTCAAACAGCTGAATTCAAGTAAGGCTGGCATTCATGTTTACCCATGTTCAGGCACCACGGGAATGCTTAGTGGTAAGCACAGCATGTACTGATCAGGGTAACCCTATTGAAATCAGGGACAGGGCGTGAGCTGTGTCTGCAAGCAGGTATTTGTGCATTTGGAATAGTGGCAGTAGACATTTTGCGGTAATCCCCCAAGAAGCAAGCCCCTCTGGGCTGTCTGAGACCTTCCACACTTCACTTCTCACTACTGAGGTGGTGTAGAATTAGTCCCTGATGCCCAAGTTGTGTAACAGACTTAGTTTGCTTTAGGGCTGGATTGTGGGGTGGATCAGTGATAAATCTCATATTAACAAATGAATTGTAAAGGAGAAGTGTGAGGTGGAAGAAAGCATTTGAGATGAGGGTAAAGCTGCGCGTTCAGAAGTGCTGCAGGCTAGCTGTGGTAGCTGAATGAATGTCGGTTGGCAGCTCCTTCAAGGGCATCTTTCCTCCTACTGCTGTTAACGATGGGATTTTCCTAGATTGGAGGAAAGAGCAAACAAAGATGCTCTCTCTCTTCTGTGCTTTCTCAGTTTGAAATCACACGTTGTTATGAGCGCGGTGAGGGACACGTTTCCATTACAGCAGCTACCTCCTCATTCCCTGTCATCAGTGCTGAGGTATCTTATGTTCATGCAGAGTTTTAGGCTGCCATCAGTGCTCTTGATTTGTATATTCAGCATATCCTAGAACTAGGTTGTTCTTCTCAAATGTGCTTTATGTGTGTGACCACAAAGATATCCCGAAACCTCATCTCATTTCCCTTGGCTAAAGCAATAACACTAAATTCAGTGATGACTACTTCATGGATGAACCTTTATTTATTTTGGAGATTTATTTCAAGGGGTATGTGTTATAGAGGGCTCTAAGGCATAAAATTATCAACACATATATAATCCTACTGTGATGCCATTGATCTAATTCAGATTTCTTCTTTGTGTAAAGACGGCTCTGTCCACATCCCACCACTTCCTGAATGTCTGTGGTCTGATGGACCCATGGCATTAGAAAGATATCTTTAACGGTAAAGAGCCAGTGACTTGATGGGATGAAGCTGATTGCAGTCACAGGGATCTGGCACAGACAAGGTTACAGAGGTTAACATATCAGAAAGGAGGCAACTGCCTTGCCAAGGGTAAGCTGATAAACATTAGCATGTAGAGGGAAAGAAGACCGAATCCTGGAACTGTCACTTGGGCTAAGGAAACACACGCTATAATCACAGAAGGCATTTATAATTGTTACTTTTCAGAAGAAATTCCTTCACTAGATTACTGGCAAATGGTAATTTTACGGTAATGACAAATTGCAGATGTATTCTTCAGAATCATGGAAAACAGCTGGAACTGGAAAAATGCATTGGTTAATCTCTTTAGCATGTTACTCTTTCTGTTTAGAATTTCAGAGTCCCACAGGATTAGTTCTAGGACCTGTGCTGTTCACAGCAACCCCAAAAAAGCAATCCAGACACAACAGTGGCCTCCACACTGGTTGTTTCCCGGGTGAAGGAGCTGAGAAAGGGCATGGCCAGCCCTACAGACATGTCCGCAGAGTCAGTGCTTGCAGACAGCCGGGCAGCCGGAGGGTAGGAAGGGGAGAACAAAAGGCATTCTGCTGCTTTCTATCTGCTGGAATGTGCAGGTTGTTTTTCCTTTGTTTAAAAGGACAGAGAGGAATTTGAAAAGAAATGGAGAAAGATAATCAAAGGCATAAAATGTGTTTGGCATGAGGATAGAATAAATAGAATAGCATTCTTCAGTTCCAAAAGAGATATCAAACAGGAGGGATGGCAAAGGTCTAGAAATTCACCGAGAAGGTGGAAAAGGTGACCAGAGAGAGATTCAGTGTTTCTCACGGTAGACGAACTGAGGGGAGTCAAAGGAAATTATCAGGCAGCAAATTTAAAATGAGCAAGAAATACTTTGCTCACATGACAAACAGATAGGTTGTGGAACTGAATGCCGCTGAGTATTGTGGAGTTATAAATGAGATCAAGAATTGGTGGAAGATAGGCCTCTCAAAGGTTATTTTAGAAACAAGGTGTGGATGCAACTTCTTGCTGTGAATTTTCTAAGCTATAATGCTGACAGCTGCCCCATTTTGTACCATGGCCCTAAGCTTGTAGTACCTGCCAAAGACAAGAGACAGGACTAGATCAACCCATGATTGTCTAACTAGATTTGTCCCACCATATATTTTCTGTGTTCTCATGTACACATAGATTGTGGTATTCCAAAAAATGTTTTTGCTTTTGTTGGTTTTGGCTGTGTCTAGACATATTTCTTTGGAAGGTTTCAGGTCTGTCCTGGTGTGGGACGGAGCTCCACAGATCAAGGAACAAAGTTTGGATCTCATTACGCATGACTCTGGTATGAGTTCTGTATTTCCTCTTCCTTCTGTCCCCACAGTAAATTGCTGATGACTTTCACTAGGTAGACTACAGCAGGTATATAAATATATATTCCTTAGAGGAAAACAGCATTGGAGGACATTAAGTAAATGCATCTGAATTAGAGCTACTAAAAATGCTTTATTTTGTTCATTTTTTCACTCTGTGAGGGACAAGCGAGCAGCTAGCTGTGGGTGTGGGCTGTTATGTGCAGTCCTGGACAGTAATGCTTTGGGCTTGAGATGCTGTATGCTCTGCCCATGTTCCAAACGGCATGGACACATTGCCATCTGCAGAGACCCTTCACGCAGGACTCCTGCTTCTGCTTCAGAAAGCCCTGATGTCCTGAAATCCTGGACAAACAAGCTGTACTGGGTGATGCTGAAGAGGAAAAGGGATCCAAAATGTTCTTAACCTCACTTGTCTGCTATTAAGCCCATGACTGTAAAAAGTGCTGGGTCACCAGGATACAAGAGAAACTGCCTTGCCAATTGCAGTGGTTCCCGAGGCTTAGTAGTCTGCTTAGTGCTTAGGAGTAGCTGGAAGCTGTGCTTTAGTTATTATAATTGAAGCATTTAAAGTTTCCTTCCTTTCAACCTGCGGGTTTGTATCTGGGGCTCTGATTTCAGACCATCAAGTCAACCTGATTACCATTTCAGCTGCACCTTTTTTACTCTCACATTGTACTTTGTTCCTGTTTTTATCCGTGTATTCAAGATAGAGGGATAGGAATCAGGCAGATGAGCACTGCAGCCTTGTCATTTGACTATGTAATTGCCTTCTCTAAGAATTCAAGCAAGACTGTCTCTGTGGTACTTCTCAATTTAACACTGGTTGTGGATGAAATGCCTGGGTGGGCGGGGTTTGTGGAGACCACTGTCTACTTGCACCAAGAGAGTTGGTAAGGACCTAGAAAGCCAGGAGTTTTTCTTCCATGTGTCCATGATGCCATGGCAGAAGTGGCCATTTTTCTATCAGGATTATTTTAATATCTTTAAGAAACTTGCTTCTAAATCTTCATAGCTGTAGTTCTTTTGCATTTTGGTAATTTTCCTCTTTAAAATTTGCGACTATCTACCCGATGCCAGTGATTTCAGCTCCCCACCCCACCCTCCCCCAGCTGGCCACTCCATGCCTGCCAGTTTGAACAGAGGCAGGGTCATGACTGCCTTTTCTACACCCACAGATCTCAATTAATGCTGGAAAAACAACTTGATAAAAGAGTTACGCTGCATTCACTGTGTCAACTGTGCAGCACAGAAAAGCTGCATCTGTTCTCGGTGGAGCCCTGGAGCTGTGTTCCCAGGACTGTTGTTACAAGAGGTTTTCCCTTCCATTTGGGAGCAGAAACTTCTCTTTCGAGCAGCTTTAGGCAGTGGGCTGAATGCATGCAGGACCTGCATCATCTCTGCTGCCTCTTTGAAGCCCCATCCATTGTGGTAACCGTCTCTTTTTTGGTCTCGTTCTTCTAGGGATTTCTATGCCCATTCCAGTCATAGGTTTGCAGGATGACTCCAGGGTGTTTGTAAATGGGACCTGTGTCCTCAACGATGAGAACTTTGTCCTCACTGGATCCTTCATGGCATTCTTCATCCCTCTCATCATCATGGTGATCACTTATTGCCTGACTGTCCAGGTACTGCAGAGACAGGCAACGGTGTTCATGTGTGGAGAGGTGCCCAAGCAGAGGAGGAGCAGCGCAAACTGTCTCAAGAAGGAAAACAACACAGAGAACATTTCAATGCTTCACAATCATGAGGGTGCATCGCACTTGAACTCTCCTGTAAATAAGGAGGCAGTGCTTTTTCGGAAAGGAACGATGCAGTCCATCAACAATGAGCGAAGAGCCTCCAAGGTCCTGGGCATCGTCTTCTTTTTGTTCCTCATCATGTGGTGCCCGTTTTTCATCACTAATGTCATGTCTGTCCTTTGCAAGGAAGCCTGCGATAAAGACCTTTTGAGTGAACTCCTTGATGGGTTTGTCTGGGTGGGGTACGTTTGCTCTGGGGTTAATCCCCTTGTATACACACTCTTCAATAAAACGTACCGCAGGGCTTTTTCCAATTACATCCGTTGCCAATACAAGACCAGTAAAAAATCAGCGCTACGGCAGAATCAGTGTCTGAATGTTGCTTCAACAGCTTTATATGGGAAAGATCTGACTTTAACTAGTTATCGAAATGGCAATGAACTCAATAGCATGGAACTAGATGAAGTTGAGGAGGGGCTTGAAATGCAACCAGGGACTTCAGAGCTCTCCATAAACAGCTGTAACGTTGTAAGCGAAAGAGTGAGCTGTGTGTAAAGGTGGCTCACACAGCCTTTTGCTACAGTGTATCTGTAGCCAAAATATATTGTGTACAAATGTAAGTGTTGGTCAAAGGACAATGTAAATATTGCATTCTGAACAAAGCTTTTTTTAAAAAAAAAAGGAAAAAAAGAGTGTCTTTCCAATTCAGTACTTAAAATCATATCTATTAATATACTGCAGTGAAGTTTAAGGTTCTATATTTACTGTTAATACTAGATCAGAACTATTAGTTACTTTGCATATGTCATGGACAAAATGTTTGAATTCTTCTTCCAGTGCATGAACAAAAATGCTGAATATTTATCTCAGGTGGCATTTGCTGGAGTCCAGAATGGCACGTTAATAGTTATATATCAAATACATGCTATTAGACTTGGTCAGTATAACTTTCTTTTTCAAGTTGACAGTAAATATATACTTTAAATCCTCACCCCTATTTGTGCCGCGTGAAGACTGTACAGAAATGTGGCAGAGAGACATCATGAAAGCATAGCGGCTGTGCAGGCACCTGGCCAGACATGTCCTGTTACGGGTAGTGGCTTGCTGCTGTGCTGGGGCAATGCTGCACTTCAAGGGACCTCTGTTAAATTTTGACTCCCTTGCCAATACCACTGTTTTCTTTGTGTTCCCCAGGAGGCCCCAGCTCCCCTATGGAATGCGAGGAATGCAGTTCTGGTGTGGTTTTGTGATCCTGGCTGGGGTCACTTGCACATTTGGAGGAGAAACATGCGAAACAGAGCGAACCCTGGTTATCTGCTTCATCCATTTTCTAAAATTCATAAATTTTATGAAGTGCCCCAGATTTACAAAAAACCCTCCTTTGGTCATATAGATTATCAGCAGCTCTGGTGTGGAGCAAGCTGGGCTCTGTGTGGATGGCAGTGCCTACACAGAGTGCTTGGATGATGAAGGTCTTTAGTTGACCTGGAGATGACTTATTGGGCTTTGTAAGAGCTCTTGTCTTCTCGGTCCTCACATCTATTTAGTCCTTAGCTTGTTTAGTATTTGCTTTTGTTTTTCAACATCTCAGGACTCACGGTGTTGGTGATAAAACACGTTGCTTTTGGTGTAGAACAGAAGTTGCTGTGCATGTGGTGCTGGTCGGGGTCAGGCTGTGAGGTGTGGGACAGGTCTCCCTGGCAGATGCTTAGGAGAAAGGCATAAACAGGGGTCCCTGCTTGTTTCTCCTGTCTCAGGGGGTGGTGAGCAGAGCTGGACAGAGTATGTGACTGGAATAATTTGCTGGTGATGTGGTTCAAAAGCGAGTAATGACCAGGGACAGGAAGGAAGCAGATCTGGAGCTAGTCTGCATGGAAGATTAATCTGGATTAACTTTTAAATTTGATTTATTCCATTTCACTCCCTAACTGAATTATAGTATATCATATTAATGCCACTTATATCTTAATAAAAGCATCCACACTGGGATGTAATGAAGTTTAAGTAATCTACTTTCAATTCACACCATGTATAATTTGAATTAATTTTCCTCTGTGTTCCTGTGTAGACAAACCCTCCAAGGCACCATGTCTTTCTGGCACTGTGTCTTTGGGGTGATGTCTCTCAATGTAATTTTTCTTGTGTACCGTATTGTCTGATGACAGATATTACCCATAAGGTTTTTACATCTTTATTGACTAATACACAAAGCTGCAGTACCCATCTAACATGGATGCTTTTAGCATCACTGACCGCCTCTGGCTATCAAAATCCTCAGAACAGAAAAGCTTACACTAGGCATGGATAAATCGCATTTTACTAACATGAACTGATTATACTCTAAGCTTGCTGTGTTCATACCACCAAAATCAACTTGTAGAAGAAATGGAAAATTCTACGAGTGCTTTAGCATAATGTTATGCTGTTAGGCCACTACCGAAACACAACATGCAGGTTGCATCTGCTGCTAGGTTGCTCCCAAGTGGATGGTCCTCCCTTCTCCCTCATCCCCTCCTGGGAAAAATCCATAGTATTCCCATCCAGGCAGGTGAGGTATCCCAGTGTGGAGTGGAGCTTACTGCTTGCAGAAGGCAGCAGAAATGCACCATGTGCCAGCCTGCTGATACTGCCATGGGCTTGAATGCTTGGGAATCCACTTGCCTCCCCAAAAAGTCTGGTAACCAGTAGGACAAACACTGGCCAGAGACACGAACTTGTGCCTTCAGTGACTGCCCTTTGCTCTGAGTCAGATTTGACCGTCTCAAACAGTACAGAAATATCAAAAATATGACATTGCTTTTTAAGTTCTTTTTTTCTTTTGGGTGAATTCGTAGCACATCTTTTTCAAATATGTATATGTGTGTATATATGTGTGTGGGAATGTGTACATATATATATACATACATATATAGATATATATTTAAAAGCCAACCAGAGACTTTGAAAGCATTTAGCAATAAGTTGAATTACAGTAGCTTCTAGCACATGTGTGAATAGGTGGTGAGTAGCTTATTTTCCATAGCATCCTCAAACGTGGTATAAGTTTACACACAAGCATTGTCTTTGCATAGGAGCCTTCATGTCTTACCCTTGCCGGTTCTGTTATATGGGCAAAAAGGGAAACTACTACATTTGGATGTAAATAATTGGAATTGAACAGAGAATTTACAGAATTTTTATAAATGTTTTTTAAAAATTCAGCACCAGAACTGTAAATATGTTGAGCATTGCAACTCAGCTGGACCCGTACTGATGTATGTCACTTGTTTAGATAAACAGACAAGGGAACTGCCTTACAGCGCCTGCGTTCTCTCCCGCCCAAAGGGTGATAACATTTTTGTGAATGGTTAAATACTGTCACTTACCCAACTTCCTTTGGGTCATTCATATCAGGGTTTTGTGATGCTGCTATTAATTTATTAAAGAAAGTTTGTTGGTTTAATCACTCTTAATTTTTTTTCATGGTCTGTCAGAAAATAAATAAATGAACGTGCCCTCTCTTTCTTTCATCTGCCCTCAATTAAAATCTTTCCTGAGTGAAAAATATGTCCTGACCAAAAAAAAAACCAACAGAAAATGAGGATAAGGGTGAGGATAACTTTCATTTCTCCTCCAGCACTTCAAGTATGGCCCACAGCTGCCTAATCACAGAAATTAGTGTCAGCAGATATCCCAACACTTCCAACCCCAAAACGTGTTAAATATGAAGACAGTGACAGTGACAAATTATTCCCCCTCTTCTCCTTGCTCCCTCCAGGAATAACTGTTAAAAAATGATATTTTTAAAATTACCTCAATTTGAAGAATGGATTTAGTTCTCTGCAACTTAACCAAAGTCAGGTTATCCCCATAGCAGCTTTGCTTCTCCTGAGCTGTAGTCGTTAACCTTGGTGGTGCCTCAAGAAGCCCTGCCCTGGGGCTGCCTGGTGGGACTATCTGCTGGAAGTCTTGTGTGAGTCCTCAGACTGCACCTCAGGTACAGTTTTGTCTTACGAATAGCGTGTTTTATTTCGAGTTTGGACTGAACAAGTGAAAAAAGTTCCTTGGAAGTGGTGCTGTAGGCTGAAATGTGTTGGTTGCTTGGTTTCCCAAAGCCGAGGGGAGATCGCAGGCAGGCTGCCTGTGAGACGGAGCACACACGTAGAGCAAACAGGCCACCCCACCTGACTTGCGTCAGGGAGTCTACCTGTGGAGTCAGCCCTTGAAGGGGCTTGCAGCCTTCCATACCAGAGGCCAGAAAAAAACAGGCCTGACTTCCAGACCTCAGCTGGCTCATCTGCATCTGTGGCAAGTTGCCCCACACAGCCAAGTGCGGGGTGTAGCATCCGTGGATGTCCCCAGCTGTGGTGGCGCTGGGGACCTTTGAGGGCCTCAAAGGCTGTCCCTTGAGGACAAGGGCTTACTCCTTCAGTCCTGTGCTCGCTGAAGAGAACATCGGCTACCCAGAGGCTGTGGCACTTGGGAGGTGATATGCTTCAGAGACAACGATGAGGACTCTCAAGGCATCCCACCTCAACACAGTCCTTGTTGTTTTAATGACTTGTGTGTCAGCAATAGTTTTTATCTGAGTGATAAAGGTGCTAATGTTAGGTGATGTGTGAGTAGTCAGCCTGAACAGTGTGGTTAGTGCCCTTTTCTCTGTAGAGACACTTGTGTCAACCATTAGTGCCTTTCCTCTGGACATCCCTACAAAGACATTCATCACTGGCATGGAGCGTGGCCAGTGCTCTTCCCTTCCAAGTCAGCAGGCTGACTGCAGTCAACTGATGTGCTGGAGCCACGAGAGCCCTGGATACGTAGACACAAATTCTAAAGGAAAAACATATTTTAAAGAAAAAAAGCAAACCACAAGCAGCTCTTCAGAAATACTTTTTAGCTTTGAGCTAATGAAGGGTGTCTGGTGCTCTTGCAGATTAATTATGCTAATCTGGCATTCCAAAAGTGGCATCCATCATGTGATAGAGATGCAGATGTCTCTTGGATGGATTTCCTCCCTGGGTCACACTATCATTAGGATAGCTACACACCAAGCCAGGAACAGCACTTGGCTTTGTCTCCATTTCAGACTGGGGCAGAAAAGGCATGAGAAGGTTTTTCCTGGGAAAAAGTGTGCAAAGATCACCAAGCCTTGGGCAGGTGCAGCAGAAGAACAGAGTTGGGCAGATGTAGACCCACATCTACACACAGGAACCCACAGATCTCAGAGCCCCCAGAAAGCAACAGGAGATGTCATCACGCTTCAGCCTCCCCTTGAAAAAATAGGAATAGCTGAACAGCTGGGGAGGAAACCAGCAATGGGGAGATCAACTGCAGCTGTAGGTGTCACTGTGAAATGTGGGTTGTTCTAAAGATAATGTAGTGGTGAGGGTCCATGTAGCAAAAAATGCTTTTGTTTTTTCATTTTTAACTATGAACTTGTTATTGACTGTTCTGCCTCTCCCTCATTTTTCTTTAAGTCTCAGGTCTCTGCTTGTTTGCTTTTACCCACACTGAAACTTGTGCTCCGAAGCTGTCAGAACTCGACAAAGTATCGATGTGTTGTGTCATTCCCTCTCTGTGCAGGGATGCTGCAATCCCATAACAACGTGGAGATGGAGAGTCTTCAGGTGTGTGATTTTAGATATATATGAGACAGATAATCAATGCACCGAGGCGTGCTTCCCAGTTAAAAGAACCACACCAGAAGATCTTTAACAAACAGCCAAGCGTGTGAGCTAGACACTGAAAAATTT